TATATATATATATATATATATATATATATGGGTAAGAAGGTAGGAGATGTATATGAAGGCATATGATGTATGTATGAAGTATTTTTTTCAAATTTTGTACAAGATTAATAAAAGCAAAAATTCCCTTTAAAACATAGATAACCTCATCACTGAGACAATCAGATATATTTAACAAAATTAAAACTATGTAACGGTCATTCCTAATTCAGAACCTGAAGATTGCGTTACGTTAAAATGTAGTGTCTTCAGCATTTCTCTTTGATGCGCTATTATAACCAACGTCTACGTTGTTATCTCTTCCACGCCTTACGTATACATAATTCCATCAAGAAGAACATTTTGTTAATTTGAGGAACTGCTATTAAAGGACGAATACCATTGTATGGAATGTTTTTACCATTTTTTTCATTCATTTAGCCAACGTTTTGTCGGATATAGAGAAATTTATGCATCATATTCTCTCACACATAGGAAAATAAAATGAATGGAAGTTTTGTTGAGAAAAATCAATCTAGTATTCCAAAAGGAAACAGAATCTTCAATTGCCGTGTTCCTTCAGGAAGTTGACGATCATGGCTCTCCACAATCTCCTGTTCATTTTAGTTCTTAATTATATATTTTTGTCATCTCTCACAAATCCTGCTCTGCCATCCATTCACACAAGCTAAGCAGATTGCTTTCCTCTGGCCCTCTAACCTTCAATCTTCCCAATGAGTATCAAATTTATGAAGCCTTAAGTATAGTGTTATTCTTGTTTCCATTGTCTCTTGTTGCTCACATGTTCGGTTCATGGTCTCAGCATCCTTCTGTAGAACCACATTTCTGTTTCTTCAGGTCTCTTATTTAGCCGTGTGGAGATTGTCCAGCATACACTGCCATATAGCAGCACTGATATTACATAACAGTTCACTACTGGCCTTTTTTGTTTCTAACGATATTTCACTGTTTATTTTCCTGTTTCTTAATACTTGGTTTAGCTTTTTGAAGGCATCTTTCGCTATCCCAATTCACCTTTGGATTTCCGTGCTGCACTTTCCATCCTCTGTTAAAACGTTTCCCACATATCTAAATCTTTGCACCTGTTTAATTTTTGGTATCTCCAATTTGCAATTCGCATTTTGGGATGTCCCTTTTGCTAATAACCAGACATTCTGTCTTCTTGAAATCTATGTTTAGTCGTTTCTTGTTTTTTCTTTACTACCTTCTTTAGTTCTTGTCGTATACCGAAAATTTATCATGTAATTTATGAGTATATTTATTAAAGTATTAATTAAATTAGAATTAATTTTAGTTGCTGAAACATCTATTTTAATATTATTTTCCTTGAGTATTATCTTAGCTCGAAATGGAGATATGTTTTATATTAATTTATGTTGATAAATGGATAAGCATATACGATGTTAAGTTCTCCAGTGAAGGAATTTTTATTTTAATTTTTACTTCACATACGGGGATATTTGCATTACTGTAGCTCTTACGAAGCGGGGAAAAAATCAGAAAATAAATCATATTTTCCAAAGTTTAGAAGAAAAAAAAATCAATTTTAACCTTAAACGAAAATAAACCGAGACAAAATCTTTTAAAAAAAAAAATATTGAGCTCCAGGCATTTGAATATCTTCCACTTTAAAAAAAAAATGATTCTTATTCTTAGGATCTGTAGAAAGTTTCAAGTTGTAGCATATTTTCCTTTTTAGCTTCGGCAGAAACAAATACAGCAAATATCTCCTTTGCCTGATATTTCTAGAAAAAAAAATACTGCTGAATATAGGAAGAGGGTGCTTGAGAATTTCTCGGTTCGATCCACTTCTTAAAATATCAATGACCAAATAGCCGAATATCAACGAGGAAGTTTACTTGGCGAATTTGACACTGAAAGCACATATTGAAGCATAAAATTGTCATATAGGAAAAAATGAGTATCTACTGACACCGAGGGAGGCACAGTAGTGTAATGCATAGCGGTTCGAATTGAGGAGAACCGAGTTCGAATTCCAGTTGAATCCATTATATTCACTTACGTGCTAATACCCTTGGGAAAGTTATGAATCCTCTTCTTACCCCCCAACTATGGGTAAATAGCAGGACAGACCGGGTTCTATAGCCCTGGATGGTAACTGGTCTACCGCAGAAAGAAATGGCCACCTACTACGAGAAAAATCTGCCTTGTCAGTTATGTATCGAAAGATACATGATTGCCTAAGCGTGTGTCACGTGTGGCATATAACTGACTGACTGACTGACACCGAGTTTCGAGCGTGAACTTAGACTAATGAATATATACTTTCAGCCAGCTGTATCAATAGCGATAGTGATTTTCCAAGCGTTGCTTAGATGTGGCACAATGCCGAAAGTACGGGGCACCCAATGAGGATCGAACTCACTACTCAATTGTAATTGTTCTAGCGAGACAAGCTTGCTAACCATTACAATGCCTCGAGGTGCCTAGCATAAATAGTGGTGTCAGGCTACTGACTGTGGTGATTATTGAGTCACTATTGAGTGTAACTATCCAGTCGAATTAGTGTGAATTATTGTGCGTCAATGATTTGGGTTTTGATTTAGGATTTACCGGACGTTAAGCCGAACCGCGCTTTTATTTTAACATTGAAGTCTTGAGTTATACTTAATTATTAACGTCACAAAAATACTCAGAATCACTCAATGAACAAACTAACAAGCTCAGGATATAACAGCGACTGGGTGTGATAGTAAGGCGTAAATATTTCTCAAGCTACAAAAGATAGGGATTTCTTCACATTATTTATATTCGGTTGTTGTGTGAAAAAGACAAATTTTTTTCACAAATCAATCAATGGAACACAATCCAAAAGGACATTACATAATACAACGGCTGAAACATTCTGACAACGAAAATCAGGAAAAGTACGCCGAATATAAATAATGTGAAGAAATACCTATCTTTTGTAGCTTGAGAAATATTCCCCCCTTACTATCACACCCAGTCGCTGTTATGTCCTCTGTTTGCATGAGCAAAATATATATCTGTTATTTCAATACACTTGTTCAACCTACCTTCGTCTTCCGTGTCTTTCCTTCTCGCCCCTAAACAGGCCACAGCAAGATATATATAAACAAGACTGTTAGTAATAAGCAGATAGAGGTGGACGTCCGAACGGTAGGTTAACACCGTGTCTCCGCTCCCCAACCAACTCTTCAAGTTAGTATTTATGAGAAGAGGAAGAGTTCATTCTACTGTAGGAGGGTTTACCACAACAGAAAGTGAGGCGGAAAGTTTAATTGTCATGTAGCTTGTTGTGGAAGCATATATGTGTCATTTAGCTTTGAGAGGAAGAGTTTAAGTGTCACGTATCTTGGTGAGGAAGACAGGTGAATGAGTAAGGGCATTCCTGTTAAGCCCTGGTGATGTGAATATTGTTACGTCTTGTTGCTCCCCCATTCACTTTACTGACTTGTCTGCTCTGAGGACTTTGCTTATATACGTTTCGAAGGGATAAAGAAGCATATTTTTTTATTATCGAAGGGAACGCGACACATTGCTTGGAAAAGGTTAAATATTTATTTTCGAAGGATTAATTAATTATCCGGAAGGGTCTGCAGATATTCCGCCTCGGAAATCATTTTTTTTTTTTTTTGTCATTTGGTAATTGATTGTGTTTATTCCCTTCTTCGCTCCACACATGTATGTATGTATGTATGTATGTATGCATGTATGTATGGATGTAAAGTAGATACTGACGTCTGCATATATATTATATTATAATATATTATATTATAAATCAGTGAAATGCTGCCTACGATACACATTTTAAATTTACAAATAGGGAATCTTTGTAACCGGGGCCATATTGCCCAATGTTATTTTTGTGGCATGTTTAAGGGCCAGAAAGAAAGACACGGAAGACGAAGGTAAGTTGAACAATTATATTGAAATAAAAGATACAGGGTGGGGCAGAGAAACTTGCTTATTTGGAATATCAATTAAAACACAAGTAATGCAGGTATACATGTAATTCTTTGAACTGCAACTTGTTCAACATTTAAATTTTATTTTTTACTAGTTTTAAAGATGATATCAGTAAGATGGCGTCCATTCTTCTCTATACACTGAGTCAATGTTTTGGGGTGACCTTGCTGTTCGTGGGAGGCCAGGTTTCTTTTTCTTTACACCACCCGTTTCCCTGAAGTTGTTTACCCATGAAACAATCGACGACCACGGGGGGGGCAATATTGAAATGTCTACGGAATGCATGTTGCGTTGAGACGATTGAGCGACCGCTTGAAAAAAATGCCTCAACAGCGAAAGCGCGTTCCAACTTCGTCCACTCCATGATGCTCACTGGGGTTCCTGAAAAATAAACAAAAAATAAATAACGCACGTTAAGAACCAAACGTTAAGCCCCACCCTCTCAAATGAGTCCATCCCTACCAACCTTGGAGCAACCATCGCTTTAGGGCGCCAAATTTAAATAAGCAAGTTGCTCTGCCCCACCCTGTATATAGAAAGCAAGAGTGTTAGTAGTAAGCAGATAGAGGTGTACGTCCGAACGGTAGGTTACCCCTGAGTCTCCGCTCCCCAACCGACTGTTCAACGACTTTTGCAATTAGTATTTATGAGAGGAGGAAGAGTTCATTTTACTATAGGAGGGTTTACCTCAAGACATATAACAACGTGCATTGTATTCGTTTTACGAATAGCGTTTTATTTACACTATTTATATTCGGATTAATATCCCCATTTTTGTCGTTGATATCACAACCTTCGGCCGTTGGGCCCACCAGCCATCCTCAGGTGTGTATCGAATATACAACTGAAGAAGGCCGGAGGATACAACATCCGAAACATTTTTATGACAACAAAGATGGGAATAATGGTCTAAAAATAAATAGTGTAATTAATGATAACTCCTCATCCCAGAAATTCTGACAGAAAATCGGAATTTATGTCTGAATTTCTAGAAGGAGGAGTTATGATTTACATGCGTAATATAATTTTATGTTTTCCTAGTATCTGGAGGCTTACGACCACATCACGTTGAAATACCTGTTCCCGTATGATCACCGTAGTTAAGCAACGTCGAGCCTAGTCACTGCCTTGTTGGGTGACCGCTTGTGAATACTAGGTGTTGTAAGCTTGAATGTGCAGCCGGCGTAATGGATAATGTCCTGGAATTATTCATTGGAGAGCCTTGTTCCAATTCCAGTTGTGTTCGTTATATGCACTTTCGCACACATTTTCTTGGGAAAGAGATGAATCCACCACTTTTACCCCCATCTATGGGTTAATTAGTAATACTTGTATCACGAAAATCATTATCTCCAAAATAAAATTCTGTGTACAAAATATTTAGATTTCGACATTAATGATTCTTAGAGACGTTGATATGCCGCTAAACAAAAACAACCAACTAGCCAACCTAGTATCCAGCCTTCATCAAGTGCTTGTCGATCAGGGTAACGTTCAGGAAATTTCGAACTGAAACCGCTATTTAATCTACGGGAGTAGAATGTTCTCTTTCCGATGACTAAGTAATGGGAGTAACAGCAAAATTGTCCAAATCCTGTAACATCATAATTGTCCATCCCAGAAAATTTTTAGTATCTAAAAACATTAAACTAAATCAGTTTCTATTTTCGAGGTTTTCTGATAAGACATTAAACCATCTTGACACCATTTGTCGTAAGAATCACTGAAAAACCCTTTGAGTTATTTAGCTAAAAAAGCGAACAGTTTAAAATCGTTTTTGTCAGCCCCACTGTCTTCCCAATCGAGCAATGCTGCGAGGAAAAAGATAATTCAGTAGTTCAGTAATGATAACAATATTCATACACTGATTTCCATCTTCAAAATCCATTCAAGATTTATGAAGAGAAAGGTGAATAAAGGTTTAAAAGAGGCAACAGTGGAAAGGAAAACTGGATCAGGAGGTCACAATAAGAAGAGCGATTATCATTTCAACTTAGAGCTAAAGAGATCAATTAGAGAAGATCTAACTCAATCCATTGGCACGTGAGAGTAGAGTTTCACCTATGACCACCCAAAGAGCAGTGAAACGTGGGAGGCAACTTCTTACCATGGGACATAAAGTTAGAAGGTTAGAGAGGGCGAAGGCCATCTTGAATAAGTTGGAAAATGATCCTGAATATATATATATATATATATATATATATATATATATATATGTGTGTGTGTGTGTGTGTGTGTGTGTATATGTATGTGTGTGTGTGTGTGTGTTGTTATCATTATAATTATTATTTTTATTATTATTATATTAACTTTTAGTCACTCAATCAAGAGCTTCCGATCTTTAGCTATGAACTATGAATTAATGATGAACATGCCATTTTCGTTTAAGATCGATTTCATCACAATTCTTCTTAAGCTTGGAGATTAATTATACAGTCATATTTGCTCAGAGTCCAATAATGTTATAAATGTTATAAAAACCATGGAGAATTCCAGTAAGATATCTTTAATCATTTCTAAGATACAACGGTTCAAAGATTAATCTAACAATTGAACAATTTTGCTGTTATACGATTTGGACAATTTTGCTGTTACACTCGGTATCACCTCGTTTAGTACTGATTAGTTATTGCTTGCTCTGTTTCAACTAACTCTAAGTGTGTATTACCCAGTTCAGGAATTGAACGCACAATTACTGTCACCAAATTCACGAACCAACGCTTTAATCCACTAGGGTCTTTTCTGGTGAGGATGTGGCCTAGTGAAAGTTATGAAGAACCATGATCTCCCACCTCACATAAAAAATAAAGATGTTTCAATATGCAAAAGCTCACGAAACATCTTTAGCTTTTAATCATTTCAAAAATACTGTTAATTATACGCAGAAAGACCTGAAGGTTTCTCAGCATGACCCACTTATAAAAGACAATATTTGAATTATCAACCATCCGAATATTGGTTTTTGGAAATTATTTAGATCGAAATCTTTTCAGCATTCTCTTGTCTGCACAAAAGATTTGGAACTCGGCTCTCCAATTAACAAATCCTAACCAATTTCCATGACACGAACCGCATATCAAACCTCACAGCACCTGGTATTCACTAACGTTCACCCATCTAGCTACTGGCCAATATTGACGTTGCTCAACTTCGGTGTTCGTACGGGAACCGATATATCAGCGTGATATGGTCGTAAATTTTTTAATTCCTGGGATATATATAACGACAAACAGCGGTTGTAGAACGGGGCACTTACATGAGGTATGAAAAACAGGCGGAAAATATCAAGTAACCCACTTAACGAACTTGTTTAAATAGACGGCAAAACAGGGATTAGGAAGGATAGTAATATGAAAAAAATGCTTTGAACTTTAAAGGATATTAAGATGTGGAGAGCCATGATCACCTACAAGACAAGAAATGGGATTGATAGGCATAGTAAGGTGACAAAAATTAATAAGATCTACAAAGGATAGGAAATTGTGGAGAGTCATTATCATCTATCTAACAAGCTTTTGTAAATGGATTTCAGAACTGGGGTTGGGAGAGATAGTAATGTGTCAAATGTTGCTTAGAGCAACAAAGGACGGGAAGTTGTGGAGAGCTATTATCATCTACGTAACAAGCTCGTATAAATAGATGGCAGAACAGTGACTAGGACAGATTCTTAAGGGACAAATATTGCTTAGAGTTACAAAAACAGCAGGTTGTGGAAAGCCATGATCAGCGATGTCTCATGATTACAATGTTTGTTGCAGTAATGTTAGGAGTGCTTGTGAAAATCAGATGTCGTGAAATCAGTATGTTTCTGGCTTTGAGATTTCGAAATATATAACTTTTAAAAAAACCTTATTGACATTTTCATTTAGATTCATTCTTGTAGATAGAATAATAATATCTTGATTATGACAGCGATTTTTCTTCAAATGGGGACTAAATCTCCCCCTCTAAACCGTCATGAAATACATTTCGTTTATTCGGGACGAACTACTTTACTAAGCAAAACTTTCAAACAAGCACAAACACTTAGTGGTAAACAAATAAACGCAAAACATTAAAAAGTAAGTTTATCTTCATGTGTGTGTGAGTGTAACCGATACACGCTAACACTGGAATATTTTTAGAGCTTCTTTCGAAATTAACATATAACTCTATTACTAAATAGATTGGGTTGAGAAATATAAAATCTAAATTCAAATATACAGGCTTTTCGTGTGGCTTTAGATAAAAAAAAATCATCGTATTTTCTATTGTGGATACAAGAAGTTTGTTTCCAAAATCTCACTACATCAGAACCCAATTTTTTATCTATATTGCAATATTCATTAGGTTTGGTTTGGTTTGGTTTTCTTTATGGCATATCACCTTTTATGGGTTTTTTATGCCAACAATATTTTTATTGCTGTTAATATTTTTTCAGAAAGTATTTTTGGTAATATTTTTTTGACAAAAAAATGTACTTGGATGGGTGTCAAGATGACCATACGGCTTTGCAAAAATGTTGTCAACAATTATTATGACAAGTCTCAGTATGTTGAAAGAGAT